GAAGTATGTCACCTTATCGTGCACATCTTGTAAAATATCCCGAATGATCAGTTGTCGATCCTCTGCTTGAATGAGGTCCTGGGGACAAGCTGTCAGTATAATCTCTACCAGCTGCCTCCATGACTCCAGTGCATGCCGCTTTGCATGAAGACACTGCAGTAATTTATTTCTTTCTACCACATACTGAAGTATAGTGCTGATTTCCTAAAGTCATAGAAATTGAATCAAAAGGTTGACACACAGACAAATAAGGTCTGTTATCAACAGATTGATTTAATCACTGTCAGTTACTCAGAAAATATTTATTTGAAAACCTACCACCTGCAAGCCAGGCAACAGCTACCTTTTCATGTTATTTTGGTGGCCAGGGCTATAAAAAATAATATATATGGGAAAGAGGGTGTGGGTGTGGGTGTGTGTGTGTGTGTGTGTGTGTGTGTGTGTGTGTCATGCGCACATGAACACATGCATGAAAGGCAGGGGACAGAGGTGGTATAGATGAAAATGAACTTTTTGACCCTTCCTCATAACTATCTACTTAAACTTACTCTAGAGTACTAAAATTGCCTAAAATCCAAGTTCAATGGCATGTTTCCCTGACAATCTCTTTTATTTCTTTGCCTCTTGCTTTGGCCTGGCCAGCTATGTTTCCATGTATGCGGTGGTTCTTCTCACCTGACCTCTTACCCATAACTCCCCACTTGTGATGACAAATGACTCTCTTCCCTCACTGATATAGAACAAGCAAAGTCAGGTTGCAAATCCTTAACTAGCCTAGCAGAAATGATGTTACTTATTTTGACATACCAGACATTAACTTCAGTTTACAAAAGTCATAAAATCAAAAGTGAAAGATTCCATTAAAGTTTAACTTGTAGGTAGTTTACTAATTAACAAACTACATGTCAATTTACATGTCTTTTCACCAACAACTGAAGTAGTTCAAGTAGTTAAAAGGTTAAAACTAACATATACTCAATGGAGCTTACCTCCATTAGTAGAGGTCTCTGTCCTATGGCTGCCATACCCTGAAGGGCATTTACTTCAGCCACAAGAACTCTATGAAGAAGCTATAGAATTAAGAAAAGAGATTAAAGTTAAGACCATTTCAGACACTGGTAGAACAATAACATCCAGCAATTCACTATAAACTGTCCTAAAAAACAAAGTTTCAGATACCTTTATAAATAATCCAACAATGGCACTGTCCAATTTCCAAACAAAAATATTAAGTATCCCTCATATTCCACAGAGTGGTACCAAAGAGCCTATGCACAGGTAAATTAATGCAAGCACTCTGGATATCTTCTTCCTATTGGCAAAGCTATTACCATTTACCTGGTAGAGAGTTAAATAGTTAAAACCATTCCATATTCTAGCTAGGTGGGATAACTATTAATACTAAAAGGAAGGTGATGAGGAACCTTGTACTAAAGTTGGTGTAGTCTATTAAGTTTTATTTCAGGGTTGTTTAACAAAAGCCCCAGTCCAATAAGCAAGTGACGGGGTCTCATTCTGTTGCTCAGGCTAGAGTGCAGTGGCGTGATCACAGCTCACTGCAGCCTCCAACTCCTGGGCTCAAGCAATCCTCCTGCCTCAGCCTTCCAAGTAGTTAGGACTATAGGTGTGCAACACCACACCTGGCTAATCTTTTTTTTTAAATTTCTTGTAGAGATGGGGTCTTGCTGTGTTGCCCAGGCTAGCCTCAAACTCTTGGGCACAAGGGATCCTCCCGCCTCGGCCTCCCAAAGTGCAGGGATTACAAGTCTGACCAACCATACCCGGCCTAGAGATACATACTTTAAAGCAGTCCTCACCTTGACATTGCAGACTGTCTGTCCCCGTAAATTCTTGTGTTCACAGTTAGCAATAACTTGTTCAATCTGTGCCCGATCAAAAAAATCCAGCTGCAAAGGCTCAGGGATCTCCTGACTGAAGTCAATCGAGTCAAGAATACTCAGAATTTTTCGACGTACTAAAAATAATAGAAAGTTATTCAACTTGGGACTCTGAGGAGAAGAGCAAAATCAGTACACTCTCAGGTCACTCTCAATACTCAGCTCACTCTCAAAGACGGTGCTATGTTCAAAAAGGGCATTAGTCTAGAAACTGAAGATTGTGTCAAAATCTAAGTTTGATTTTATTTTTAATACATCCACTTATAAAAATATTTTCTTTCCTATCATATGATCCTAGTTATAAAAAAATTTTTTT